GCCTTCCAAGTTATATATAACTGAATGGTTTTATTTTAGACACTGGGTTGTGCTATGTAGCCTTGGCTGACCTGCAATTCATTATTTAGACCAGGCTGGCCTTGAACTCACAAGAGACCTACCCACCTCTGCTTCCTAAGTGCTGGGATTAAAGGTATGTACCACCTTGTCCAATGTTATAATTGACTTTTTGGTCACTAAATATGAAAATTATTAATAATAAAAATTAATCAGGGCCAGGCGTGGTGGTGCATGCCTTTAATCTCAGAACCTGGGAGGCAGAGGTAGGTGGATCTCCATGAGTTCAAGGCCAGCCTGGTCTATAGAGAATGTTCCAGGACAGCCAGGCCACAGAGAAACCTTGTCTGAAAAAAAAAGTGTGTAGGAAGAAACAGAGGAAGTTAAGGTTAGGAATGTAGACTGGGGTCTAGTGATCCATGAAAGCTATAAACAGAAATTTGAATTTTAATCTGCCAGGTAATGAGAGACACAAATGACAATGTTTATGATCCATACATTTACTTATAAGGGTGTTCTGGCCATCTACTCAAAAGTATATTGAAGGTAGAATCTGATAATGTTAGTTCCACTTAATGCTAGCTGGTTTTTCAAGATGTCCATAAATTCATATATAAGATGAAATAGATATAATTACATAATATAAATATCTTGCACATGGCTTGGAAAGCATTGTATGCCATATTCTAGAGACTCTCCCTCCCTCCCGTCCTCTCTGTTTCCCTCCCTGTAGATCCAAGAACTCACTGGTCATTAACCCATGAAAAGCTCTGACCATGAAGAGTAAGCCAGCTCTCCTGGATCTGACTGGGTAGTTTCTTTCTCTTGTCACGCTAACAATATTCTAGACGTTTGGAAACCTAACAGCTGAGAGACTCACAGAACACACACATGTGCCAGTACAACTAAATATGTGTATTTTATTATTTTATTATTAAAATATCCAAGTGAATGTGCATACTTCAAATGACCATTTTCACACACATGAGATCTAGCTATAGAAAAATTAATCTTAAAAAAGGGGTCTGTATCAGAGATTAAACGCAGTATCTATCTTATCTATCTACCTACCTATCCCTATCTATCTATCTATCTATCTATCTATCTATCTATCTATCTATCTATCTATCTATTTTTAAGTATAGACAGGGTCTCACATCTCACCCTGTAGCCTTACCTGGCCTGGAACTCACTATGTAGAACAGGCTAGCCTGGAACTTACTCACTGTGTAGAGCATGCTAGCCCAGAACATGTGATGAGCCTCCTATCTCTGCCTCCTGAATGCTAAAATTAGAGGCCTGAGCCATCACGCCCGGTGGTGTCTTAAGAGCTGATTCTGGTTTTTTTAGTCTGCAGAAATAAGACATTTGCACATGCCTTCTAGAAATTTCTTTGAGCCAGGTATAGTCTATAAGTCCACATAACCTTTTATACAAGGTTACCTGTAATTTACCCTAAAAGGGCTAAAAGGAAACTCCACCATTTATGCTTCTGTCAGAAACTAGAGCAGTTATTTACCCCAAATTTTCTCAACCCAAAGTCAAATGAACTACCATTCAATGGTAGCTAGGTCGTACATTCTCAGACTTCTTTATGTATTGTTACAGGTCTTACATGTGAAAGGGAAAAAGACAGCTGGACCCGTCCCCAGCTACTCAGGAAGCCAAGGCAGAAGGATCAGGAGTTCAAGGCTTGCCTGAACAACTTGTGGAGACCCTGACTAAACAAACAAACAAAAAACAAAAGAAGGCTGAGGCTGAGCACAGTAGTGTATACCTTTAATCCTAGCACTTGGGAGACAGAGTCAGGCAGATTTGAGTTCAAGGCCAGCCTGATCTACAGATCTATAGCTCGAGTTCCAGTACCTAGAGAAACCCTATTTCAACCCCCCAAAAGCAAAATGGCAGCTTTGGATATGGCTCAGTGGTAGAGTGCCTGCCTAGCATGTGTGGGCCTCATCTTCAGTCTCCAATATGATGAGGTTGGAGGCGAGGGAAGAGTTATTTCAGGGTAGCTCTTAGCTAGGGTAGGAATTATTGAGGGCTGGGAGTTACTAACGCAGCGGCTACTCTAGTAACTGTGACTTCCACATCTTCTACTTTAATCAACTGCAGGTCAAATTATCTGAAAAAACAAAAAACGAGGTCTAAAGATGTGGTTCAGTGGTAGAGTGCTTTCCTAGGCAAACTCTGAGTTTGTTCCTGGCGCTTCTGTACCGTGTTTACCTTTTTGTTGTCATTCTATAAGAACAGCTGGCCTGCCAGGTGAGGTGTGCTTGCTGGTACAACGGTGGCACGGCGGTTATGGGCGCAACCAACCAACCAGTTTCTGAGTGGAGTTGAGGCCTGCTCCACAGGAGGGAATTCATGCCAGGTCAAAAGACCATGACTCAGGAGGTTAGAGGCCTTAGGTGAGGGGCACCTCCTACTGCTATTTTGCTAAATGGACCTGTCATCAAACTGTCTTCTAAACGATTTAGTATTTAGGCTACGCTCATACATTAGTGTTGCTCTCAGCTTTGCCCGGAGAAGATTCCGCAGCAGTGGGCGGCAGTTAATGCAGACTCAGAAGTGACAAAGTGCTGAAAATACGTGACTATGGAGTGCTCATCCCTACACGGAACATCTGTATCAACCGCATAGAAGCTCAGAAGTTAAGGGGGAGTAGAATGAAGCAGAAAGAACGTAAGAGCCAGGGGCTAGGGAGCAGCACGGTGAAATACTGTCTTCTGGGCATGACGCAGCTGTGGCACTCATGAGCTCACAGCAGCCGTGGTTGCTCACGCAAGATCTGCAGACCAACCCAAAAAGATCATTCAACTTTGGATGTAGCAGGTTAGCACCGCCACCGTCACCACCACCACCACCACCACAGGCATGAAGGGGATGTATTGTGGTTTAAGGAGGAATGGAGAAGATCAAGACATACTGCGTCAAATAATAAGTAAAGGCATTTAATATTGAAAAAAAAATCAGAACAATCCCCTACACACCATGACATCTTCATGGTACTTAAAACAGCAATCCCACGTTGTCTGATACGTAGGGAATATTCAGGTATTATCTTGGACATTTCCAAATTTTCTCTATTTGCTTCTTTATTTTGAATTCAAGGTTGAGACAGGGTCCTTCTATACATCGCCCGGGCTACCCTGAAACTCACTATGTAAACCCGGCTGGGATTAAGGCTGGCCCCATCACATCCTGTCCCCCCAAATGATTTTTTTTATAGCTATTGGTTTCTCATCTAGAAGTCAAAGTCCACAGACACCAAGCCACAAGTTACACATATCTCCATCTGAGATAGCCCCTGCTTCATCTCAGCTGAAATATTACATGGGTGAAATGATGGTCTTTTCATTACAGCACGAGACTCACAAGAGAAAGCGCCTTGGGGTGCTTCTGGGGTGACCGTTGGGGTGGGGAGATGGTGGAAATCATTGCATTGTAAAGACACGTCCTCCCTGCGTAAGACGCTCTGAGGTAACACGAAAATCCTGCCCTCACCCTTCTCTCACTCGAAGGTTTTGTACCAGCTGCTGAGATAGGTCAGTGTTTGCGCAGTGTGTCGCTCAGTCCTTCTATTGTGCATTCACTCTCCACACAATAAGCCATCAGTACCATTCTCTCTTTTCTTACTGTATATCCTCTCTGGTTATTTCTTGCTGGAGTGTCCTCCCCCACCTTCTGGCAGCGCACATTTGACAGCTCAGGCCCAGCCCTAGGGAGCCACCAATCCTTATCGGCTGATCAGGCAATGCCTTCTGCAAACAAAACCACCACATCGTGCCCTGCCAATTTGTGTTAACATAAAAACCAGACCTCTGAGATATTTATTGAGATAAACTGGAGAGAACAGAGGGAATCAGGTATATTTAAAATAAAACAAAACAAAAACTGGACTGCCTAAGCCCTGGAAAAAAATCTTCCTGCTTCCTTGAGGGAAAACTGTCCGTTCTGTCTCCATTAAGCCTTTTGTAAAAGTGTTAAAACACCCTTGCCATTTTAGTTCCTCGATACAAGAATCCAGGAAGAAAAGAGGCTTAGAATCCATTTCACCAAATACCCCATTTTGATGGAGAACACAGCTCAGAGAGGCGAAGGGGTCTGGCCCAGGATCCCTCAGCTCCTCCATGGTGGAGCTGTTACAGAAACCATGCTTTTGTAATACGTCCTCTGATGTTCTTTATTTTCTCCTTTCCCAAACGCATGGTGAATCAGATATGTAATAGGCACCGAAGAAGGGGTGGCATTTTCGGCCTCTTTCCTGTAATTTGCCTTTTAGCCGCACCACCGTAACCTTCTGCTATTTTAAAATAAAAATTCCCAGAACCTTTTATTATCATTAAAATAATAATAATAATAATAATAATTTTTTTTTTTTTTTGCAGGTCAACAGGTTAAAGCAAGGACGCCTCGGAAAGGCACAGACCAACATGATTTTAACCAGGAAGAATAAGAAAAATATTCTCGGGGACCTGCCCGGGGCGGCTTTCTGAATGCTTGATGCGTCCTGTGACAGCTCCGGGGACCTCAGAAAAGATGCCGGCCTTCCTCTCCCAGGCTCCTGCTCAAACGAGGCCGCGAGATGCTCGAGACTCCCGGGGCTTATCACACACAGGTTCACAGGAGCAGAGAAAATGGGAAACAAAGCCCAGCGTGGAAAACTCTAGCTCCGCAGCCCCGGGCGATCGGAGACCGCGCCCTCTCTGCGTCTGTTCTTGGACAGAGGTGCTGAGGGGCTGCGGGGCTGCAGAGCACAGTGCAACCGGTACCTACAGGCATCCCCGACCGCACGGCGCCGTCCCTGCCACCCAGCGTACCCGCCGCTCCGGTGCAAGCCGCTGCGGGCTCCGCTTGGCCTCGCGCCACGCAATAGAGCATCCTCCCGCGAACACGCAGGGTGCGGCGGTTGCTGAGCCACCGACCGGGGTCCTGCAGACAGGCTTTCCCAACAGTCCCCTCCCGCCCTAGGTTCTCACCCTTGCTTGTGCCCATCCCGAAGCTGAAGGTCCTGGCCAGCAGCCGTGGAGCGCTGAGCGCTCAGGTCCGACCAACAGGGGCGGTGCCGTGGCCCCGGGCTAGAGCTGCGATCAACAGGCGGCTCCCGGCCCGGCGCGGCGCGTGGGGCGCGCGGCTGCAGCGGGGCAGCCTGGGAAGCGTAGTTCCGGCGACGCGCTGTGGCCACACAAGAGACAGGACCCCTGCCCGGGCCGCGGCTGGGTCTCCCTAAGACACGCTTGCCTCGCAGGGTCCTCCCCTAGAATCTGGTGCTATTATAAGCGCCAGCGCGCTGCGGGGCAGGTGGAGCCTGGGCTTGGGGGGAGCTGGGTAGGCTCTGTGGAGATGCTCAGGATCACTGATGCCGGTGGGTGGCACTGGGCAGCCCTTGTGAAGGCCCAGCCGGGGTCAAGCTCAGAAACAGACCAGGCTTGCTCTAGGATTTACTGGCTGCGTGTGGGCGTGGGAAGGACTGGATCGGTTAATTGCTTAGGGAAGAGGAGAGGAAAGTTAGCGACACGGGAGTCAACGACCACAGGTCTGCTTGTACTAAGAGCACACACACTAAGGAGTCCCATCTTGGTGACGAGAATCGTTATTTGGATGCAGTCTCCAGATGGGAATGCCCTACAAAAAGCGCTGTGCAAAGAGAGCTGCATTTTTGTCCTGGGTAATGTTGAAACTCCCCGAGTTTATTACTGCGGGCCTTTTAGTCTCACTGTCTCCCGTGAGTAGGTACCGGAATGCCTGTTTCTCTCTGCCTTCTTCTTAGGAACCACAGAATATTTCCTGTTTCCGAAACACGAAAGTTGGATGGGATGAATCCCCGATTGTGGAAGTACATGGCATGTGGTTTCCTTGCAGCAACTTATTTTTGAGGGCGAGCAGGGTCTTATTATGTAGCCTAGGCTCGTCCTGATTTGTTGGAGGAAGGTCCGGCTGTGTTTGTTTGGTTGTTTTTTCAAGAAAGAGTTTCTCTGTGTAGCCTTGGCTGTACCGGACTCACTTTCTAGACTAGGCTGGCCTCAAACTTTAAGAGATCTGCCTGCCTCTGCCTCTGTCTCCCAGAGAGCTGGGTTAAAGGTATGCGCCACCATGCCCGGCTGCCAACTGTGTTTTTAAGTGGGGATTTCAGTGCCTTGAGATCTGGTTACCGCTCTGCCATGGGCATTGTTATTAAAGTTGAATCACTGCCCAAGTGATGATAAGTAATGTTCCCCAATTATCCCTGATTGGCTGATTAAAAGGCCTACCCCTGGGCAGGGTGGATGTGAGGGTTGGAAGGAAGGTTCTGGAGCTTTGGGGAGAAAAGGACCTGGGGGAGAGGAAGACAGGTACCGGAAGAGGAGGGAAGAGAGAGCCACGATGGGTTAGGGTGGAGAGGAACGCATGGCGGGATCATCGTGGATGGAGGAAAGCAGCCAGATGAAGAATGTCAGCAGGTATTTTGAAATTATGGGTGGGAAGTATCCCAGATAGAAATTGTTAGAGCATATGTGTAAGATGGGGGCTTAGGAGGGCAATAGCTGCCTTTCCCCGGGTGAAAAAAGTCTACAACCTATCAGGTGTCTGTCTCTTATCGATTGCGATAGCATGCTGGAGAATACTGCCACAATCACTATAGGGCTAATAATATTTGTTGTTAGCCCATACTTTTAAATTATCTGCAACACTGATTTTGCTTCCTAAGGCTTGGGATTGCAGGCATGTACCACCACGCACACAAAGCAGGCATTTTCTGGTTCGATTTGACTCTTTGCAGGGTACTTTGAACATAGCCTTTTCTAGGACACTTGTCTGTGACGGCTGTGCTGAGGTGTCTTTTTTTGGTTTTGAAGCTGCCCCATGCAGTATTTCACTGTATGGCAGGATTTGTGTTTATAAACACAGCCCAGGAAGATGAATTAAAGAGATGGATGCCCCAGGGCTGATGGGATCTGCACTAGACAAAGGGTGAATGAGAGTGAACTTCAGTGACCGCTGTCTGAATGAGGTATGTAACAGTCATGCGGCTAAAAACAAAACAAAACAAAACAAAAAATGCTGCGGAGGAAATTCTATAGTTGAAAATAATAGCAGCGACTTTGTATGTGTGAGAAAATATGCTGTCCTGTTCCTGTGTTTGTTTTATTTTTGTAGTAGTCCTGCGGGATGGGCAGAGGGGGTCTTTAATGCCTTCAGAGTCATTCAAGACAGAGAGGCGAAAGGACTTACTCAGGCCTGCCCGGCTTAGCCAGGCAGTAAGGCCGTCTTTTTTCTAACACTGATAACTCTTGCAGAGGATACAAGTTTGGTTCCTGGCACCTACATGAGACAGACCACAAGATCTTCTGACTCTAACCTTGGGGTATCCTATGACCTTTTATGGACTCCTGGGGCATCCACGCACAAGTAACATACACGTTGAAACAAATTAAAACAAAACAAAACAAAACAAAACAGGCCAGTGGGTGGCCAAGTCAGAAAATAAAAGCTAGAAACTAGGGTGGTGATCACAGGTGCACCATGGCTGCTGAGAGACACTGGTGTCTCCGTGGTCAGTTATAACCCTGCAAGTAGACATAAGTGGATTTACGGAAATGCGGAAAGTAGAAAACTTACTTAACTTTCCCATTTTTAATGCCGGCGATCAATAAGCTAGGTATGGTGGCACACCTATAATTCCAATGTTTGGGGGATGGAGGCAGGAAGATCACAGGTTCAAAGGCACCCTCAGCTGCATAGTAAGCCTAAGGTCAACCTGGGCTACAGAGAGCTTGTCTCAGAACAGCAGATAGACAGGTAGACAAAGAGACAAAGAGACAGAAATTATTAAGAAGCTGGGCCTGGCAGTGCACTTCTGTAATTCTAACTCTTGGTAGCTGAAGCAGGAGGATTGCTGAGACATTAAGGCTGTCCTGGGCTACACAGTAAAAAATAGGAAAGCCTGGGTTATAGTGTGAGATACTATTTCAAAAATCAAAATACCAGCCCTGTGTGGTGGTACAGGCCTTAAATCCGGGCACTCAGGAGGCAGAGGCAGGAGGTCAGAGATCAGTGACTTCAAGTCTAGTCTATTCTACATAGTGATCTCCCAGAAAGCCAGGGCTACATCGTCAAACTCTGTCTCAAAAGACAAATAAACAACAACAACACACACACACACAAACCCACAAAGACAAAACAAGTAGTGGGTGTGATGGTGTGTACCTTTAGTTGGAGCATTTGGGAGGTGGAGACAGTAGGGTCAGGTAGTCAGGGCCAGCCAATGTCTACTGGAAAGGCTGTTTTCACAAATGACAGCAGCAACAAACCAAGCAAGCAAACAAACAAAAATAAATTAAGAGACGATAGTACCAGTGCCAGTCTGTGGAGTTCTTCAGATTTATTGTTTATGTGCTATTTTTTTTTTTTAAGAAGAAAGGAAACAGTCAGACCTTTGACTTAATTTAAACTGTCAGAATTCCTAGACCATACTTTAAAAGTTTTCTTTTTCTTTTTTTTTTTTTTTTTTGACAAGGTTTTACACAACTCAGGCTGTCCTACAACTTGGTATTTAGCTAAAGGTGACCTTGAACTCTTGATCTTGCCTCCACCTTCCAAGTTATGATGTTACAGACCTGTAACGTGATGCTAGTTTTGCCCCGACCCCTGTGTGTTTGTGTGTGTGTGTGTGTGTGTACACGTGTTCATGCACATATCGGTACCTGTATGTGGCTGCCAGAAGTCAACCCTGGATGTCATTCCTCAGGTGCCATCTCTCTTGTTTTGTGTTTTGGTTTAAACAGATTCTCTGTTTGGGGACTGGGGTTGGTCAGTGGGCCCCCGTTTCTGCCTTTCCATCCCTGGGGTTATAAATAACTCACTGTTAGGGGTGCTAGGGGTCAAGCTCAGATCCTCATGCTCCTGCAGCAAGCACTTTCCCACCTGGGTCAGTTCTCCAGCACCTCTGCTGGCTGTTTGGATGGTGAAGATGTGGAACTAAGTAAGAACTGGGAGACTGCCGTCATCGGGTGTGGCTTCTTCACGAAGGCGAGTAAACTGATCCGCTGACAAGAACATGTCAGACAGCAGAAAATAAAGATGTAATTAATAGTTACAGGGAAGTGCTCTAATTGTGACAGAACATGCAGCACACCCCAGTGGGAGTGGGTAGCAGTATTATTGGTTGCTTGTTCCACATCCATTTTATTCTCCTCTTCCTTCTTCTTCTTTGTTGTTGTTGCTTGTTTGTTTGTTTGTTTGAGACAGGATTTCTCTGTTTAGCCCTTGCTGTCCTGAATTCATTTCTGTAGACCAGGCTGGCCTCACACTCAGAGATCTGCCTGCCTCTACCTCCCAAGTGCTGGGACTATAGTCAACACACCCCCATTCCCACCCCCAACTCAGCTCTTTTATGTTCTTCTTTACTTAGAATGTTTCCACCAGGGAAGGGTGCCCTAATACCATCTGAGGGATGTGCTCTTAACCCTGTTATGGCCGTGGAGAACAGGACCATCCTCCCTGGATTATATGACATTTTAGTCCAAGGAGTTGGCACTTAACATATTCTGGCCGGTGGTGACACCTGAGGCAAGGACTGCTGGAGAAACCTCTCTTTTGCTGTTTGTTTTATTCTTTGATAATTTCATATGTGTTTATCCACCCCAACTCCCCCTTCTGCTCCTCTCAGATACCTCCCAGTATGTCCCCCTCTCACCATTATGTACCCCCCCCCTGCCGTTGAATCAGTTCGTGCTGTCTGCTAAAATAGTAAGTGCTTTTGTTGGCTTGATCTAATGCAAGACATGATAAGTACAGCTTGTTCATGATAGCAACAGCTGTGCCCAGAAGACATCATTTCAGAGCAAGTCCCACCCTGCTCTGGCCCTTAACATCGTTTCTTCCTCCTCTCCTGTGTGAAGGAACTTCTCGCTCTTAAACAGAGATACACAGAAAGACCACGCCATTATTCATGATGGATGTTGTTTTCTCGGGGCCATGTGGCTTGAAATTGGAATGGCCGTCTTATAGCCATCAGGGCTGCCAGCCAAAGGACAAAAACCACACCGATGTTGTCCGAGTGGAGAGAAAGAACGAACTCGTGATCTGCACTGCTGTTGTAAGTCAGTAAGCCAGTCAGCCCTGGTGTTGTCCT